GGTCACCTGGAGCCCTTGTTTCCCATTGCAGAATCAAGGCCACTGCGAGGCAAGAGCATCGACCTTTCTTAGTGGAAGAAACCTAAGAAACTGCAGCATTTTCACCCTCTTTACCTGTTAAGAAATGCCCCTTTGTGTTTCTCCGCGTTCGTGACCCTTGCGTTGTTGACAAACCCCCCCCCAAACTTGGCTTTCCACTCTACCGAAAGACCTGGCACTCAAAGACTGCCAAATCTTCGGGCAATATTTCCTCTGCGCTCTCTCCAGAGTGGCGGGACCTTTGTTAACCTTGTGCAGACGCTTCCACAGGTTGCATCTCAGACACTTGGGTGCAGGAGATGCAAACTGGAGGTTGGCTCCCCGCCCCCTTCTTAGTCTCTCACTGCCAACTTTTTCTGTGTAGACCACACAGGTCCTCTTGGTTCCTCTGAATCAAGGTGTCATTGCCCCAGTTCTGTGGCAGAATGGTTCCAGTGGTTATAGAATAATCTCTTCACCATTCCCAAGCCCAAAGGGAACATTCTGAATCTCAAAACTCTGAATGTCCCTTTTTCGCGTCCAAAAATTGTGCATGGAATCTACAAAATTGGTCATACCTCCCTTCATCAAGGAGATTTCCTAGCTTCTGTTGACATTAAAGATCCTAAGTTACAGGTCCCCATCTTTCCAGGACATCAATGATTCCTACGCTTTTTGTAGGGTCTTTGCACTACAGGTGTGTGACCCTGCCCCTCAGCCTCTCGTCTGCACCTTGGGTATTCACCAAGTACCCCTGTATAGAAATTTGGATGGATACTGAACCGTCGTTGGGACTGACTCAAGTCCTGGGGAATTCCCCAGGACATGGCCCAGCAGATTTCCTGCAGAAAACTACAAAAGGAGAGGAGACCAGACTAGTCACCCTGCACAAGGAGAGAGAGCAGCAGTGAGCGGTCTTTATTACAGAAGGGGGCGGAGACAAGACCAGTCACCTTGCACAAGGAGAGAGAGCAGCAGTGAGTGGTCTTTATTACAGGAGGGGGCAGAGACGAGACCAGTCACCCTGCACAAGGAGAGAGAGCAGCAGTGATCCATCTTTTATGACAGAAGGGGGCGGAGACAAGACCAGTCACCCTGCACAAGGAGAGAGAGCAGCAGTGACCGGTCTTTATTACAGGAGTGGGCGGAGACAAAGCTCACCAAGATTCAAGAAGAACACACATGACTCTTGTATGAGGACAATATCTGCTTAATTTAGTGTCGGGCTGAATTTTGTCAAAAGAAAATTAAATTTCCTTCAGAGATCTTTAAAGTGAAGTACTGAAGACCCCGGCCCTAAATTTTACCGGGTGCTGCTGGTATTTGACCAGCACTGAGCACAGGAAGCAGCCACTTTCTAATCGGGAGTACGGTTGGGTCAGTGCCCAGCCTGGAAGATTGGATAGTAGAATATATT